AGTCGTTTACTCCTTAAATCAAGACAATAGAAACTGGAATTCGAGAAGGCTAGTTGGAGAAATAACCTTTGAAACAGCGAGTTTATTGAAAAATCAAATGATTTGCCCTGTCTGTCTGTCTCTGTCTAGCTTTCTCTATATTTTCCATTATAGATATATAAAATTATAAGCTTAAAGAAATAATCTTTCTGGTTTCGTAAAATCTTTTATAAAATTAATTATTTTTATAATTAATTTAAAATTTACTCATTTTAATACAACTTTTGTTTCCCACTTTAAGAATAAAGTGATTATTTTGTAACTTTCGATCATTTCAAACAGATAAATTTTTATTTCTAGTAAAGCAATAAAATAATACTATACTCATAACTTTTTTCATATAAAATTTCTTTTACAAACTTATATGACAAAAGATAATTAGGTGACTTTAAATTTAAAATAAACATCTACCCAATCATCTTTTGTGACATAAGTTTATGAGAGAACCCAATTTCACAACCTTTTCTCACAACTTCCGACGTGACAATTTGTAATTGGATATCGTCTGCTTGCTATGAGTCTCACTGTTTAATTAGGAGCTGTTACGTTGAAAATTATGAGAAAAGGTTGTGAGATTGAGTTGTGGACTTAGCATTACTTAAAAAAAAAAGAATATTGTCTCAACCCCAAAATTCCGATTTGTTTCCGTCCACTGGGTTTATTTTTACTGTTGTGTTCTTTATTAAAAAAAAAAAATCTTTCATCAAATATGTTGCAATACAATCCGTTAACGAAGAATCATAATATAAGCACAAGTGAAATATACTTTGGTCTCTTCTTAACTTTATATTATATGAAAGAATTTTTGCTTAGTTTGATTCCAATTACTCTCAGCAATACCAAGACGTCAATTTTTTTTTAATTAAAATTAGAATTATAAAATTCTGCCCATTACTATTCAAGATAATTTAAAGTAAAATCACTTTTTTCCTTTTTCTTTTATTTTTTCAAAGTTCATAATTCTTTTTCTTTATTTCATTTTTAATGTGAAGGTGTCGGATAACTAATGAAATAGAAGCCAAACCAAAAAAGAGATTCAAAGAAGAAGTTGGGCAAAAGGTGAGACGTGAGTGAGCCAAGTGTTAATCGTCAATAGAAAAGTGGTGAGGTGTCACCTTTGCGTAAAATAGGCGCTACTAGTGTTCTCCGCTCGCAGGATCGCATCCCATGAATTGAAGCGTCATATGCGGCTGTATATTCTGTTTCGTTTGACACTAACACTGACCTGACTATTTCTTCATTTTAAAATTTTTTGCAAATCGTAATTCACCACACCGCCCGTTGGTTATCATTATATATCTATCTATATATATTAATACGCATACTACTCTCCGTGCTCTCACTTTCATTTCAAAAACTTCCAGATTCCTCTTCTTTTGTCTCTTTACCTTTCTCTTCAATGGCCACTGACACCGATAAGCTCACACAACTCAAATCTTCCGTTGCTGGCCTCAGCCAAATCAGGTAATCTTTTATTCTTCTTATTGATTTTGATCATCAGATCTATGTTTCATTCTTTGTTTGATTAATTCTATATTTTTTCTGTTTCCTTCTGCAGTGAGAATGAGAAGAATGGATTCATCAATCTCGTTGCCCGCTATCTCAGGTAAATTTAGCTCTGATTTCGTTTGTTTTTGTGAGTAGATGTTCGAGATTTTGATTTTTGAATTGGATTGAGTGATGGTGATTGTTTGTGTGTTGATTGATTGATTGAAGTGGCGAGGCTCAACACGTGGAGTGGAGCAAGATCCAAACGCCCACTGATGAGGTGGTGGTTCCTTATGACACCTTGGCACCTGCTCCTGAAGGTATTGAAGTTTGGATTTGCATTTGGTTGGACAATTGTTTTAGTTCTAAATTTTACGTGAACTGATGCAGTTCCAGCGGAAACCAAAAAGCTCTTAGATAAGCTTGTTGTGTTGAAGCTCAATGGAGGCTTGGGGACAACAATGGGCTGCACTGGTCCAAAGTACGCATTCTTTCACTAGATTGTGGTTTTCTATTTATTTTATTTTATTTTATTTTAATAATTTATCGTTCTTGTTGCGACTGAGACTGTAATCACTCTTTTGTTTGACTTTCTCGTAGTAAGATGTGGATTCTTTTGCATTAACATTGAAGTGAATGGGAACGGATCAGATGTTGGGTTTGTATAATATAGAAGGGATGTTTATCAAATTAGATTAAAATATGATCTGACATTAGACATAGAGATCATGTGCAGTGCACGTCTGATGTCCCTAGAATCATTTATCACTTTCATCTTAGGTACTCTATGTGTAAATATTGAATCCTGTATTTATAGTATTTATAATGGTACATAACAGTATGTGGATTCCATGAATCCCTCTCTTGCTAAAGATTGTAGGATTTGGAAGGTAACCTGATTTGCACCTTGGATTTGCGGGTTCAGGGATTTCTGGTTGCCAAAAATTAAAAAATAAATAAAAGAAACTTACGATTGGGTATTATTTATATAACATAGAAAACTTTCATGATCTTGTAGAGTGAATGATTTATGTTGATATTAATTTAAGACTCTTATCATCAACACTCATATTAATCAACAAATATATTATATAATCTGATAAAGAGATCCCACATACCCCTGAGTCACTTCTAGGACCTATTCATAGATTGGATTACGCCTTGTAGAAGTAGACCCAACTTAACGATTACATATGATAGGTGGCTTTTTGTCTATGCTTGTCTGTAATTTTGTGGCTATCACAGCTTTAAACTTAGTAATTTAGTTTTGTGTTCCCATGTCATTCGATTTGGATGTACCAGACAATGCAATTGAATCTGTAATATGGTGTGATTCTGTTTTTGTGTTCACTGTGATGTACGAAATGTTCTTTTTAGTGTCAGAGGTAAAAATGCATTTCAGGTTTTACTTTGTCCTCTAGTTCATGTACTTGTATAAATTTTCTTTAAAGATGGCGTAGAGACATAAGCATAACATCTCCAATCAAAGTTTAAATTCTCTATAATTGGTTTTCTCCATTTCAGTTCTCTTATAATTAGTGTGATGGGGATTGAAGACTGGTATTATTTATTTTGCTCCCATTTTACCATTTGTGTGCTACATTCTCAATTCATACCTGGCAAAATTGTGGCTACTGTTTAAGGTCTTGTAATTTTTTCTTTTTTATTCTCACCAATAGAAATGCAAATATTATTATCTCTGATGAGTTTGTTGATTCATTCCCATAGTCTGTCCATTATCTATTGTCTTTCTAAGACTTCTTTTCAGTTGTCAGTTTTTGATAAAAAATTGTTTTGCACAGGTCTGTTATTGAAGTTCGTAATGGTTTGACTTTTCTTGACTTGATTGTTATCCAGATTGAGGTTATACTTTGTTCCTTACTGTTCTAAGTCTTTCTCTTTTTCTCTCTCTATTTTTAACATGATGGCATGTAACCTAATTTTTCAAATATTATAGCATCTCAACTCCAAGTATGGGTGCAATGTTCCGTTGCTTCTTATGAACTCATTCAACACTCATGATGACACAGCAAAGGTATTGGAACTTTCTCCCCTTCACTTCACTTCCCTCCCTACCCCCTTTAACTAGATCCTGTAGACTTACAAGTTCTTTACCATTTTCAGATTGTAGAAAAATACTCCAAATCAAACGTCCAGATTCATACTTTTAATCAGGTTTGCGATGCTATTATCAAATTAGCTGCAGTAGACTTTTGAGAACTTGTAACAATAAAATTTAGTTTTTAACCTTTCTTTTAACTTATGCAGAGCCAGTATCCTCGTTTGGTGGCTGATGATTTTGTGCCATTTCCATGCAAAGGGAAGACCGATAAGGATGGATGGTAAGGTTATATCAGTTTTGTTGGGTTTTAGGTTTATGCCTTTTTAAGCTCTGGTAGTTATCATCTTTTGTAATTATTTATTGTTTAAACATCTTGATCGTTAGAATATTTTTCAAAATTTTGGAAGGAGATATTCCAATAGAACAGCTTGCTTTGTGATGTCTTTCTTTATTGGTATGTATTCCTGTCTGCTTACAATCATCATTTGCTCATGGAAGGTATCCTCCTGGTCATGGTGATGTTTTCCCATCCTTGAAGAACAGTGGCAAGCTTGATACTTTATTGTCACAGGTTGGTATTACTTGTGCAGTTTCTGATAACTTGATTAACTTCTTCTCCAAGATACTCACACAGTTTTTTTTTTTTTTTTTCTATCTCTGGTTATTTTCTATGACAGGGTAAGGAGTATGTGTTTGTTGCCAACTCAGATAACTTGGGTGCTGTTGTTGACTTGAGTATCCTCATTTGGTTCTAATCGATCTCAGCCTGTTGGCTTCCGCTGTTATATGTATTTACATTTTGTATGAAATAGATGCATGAACAAGTTTTTCCCGCATTTATTATCCTTGACCTGCTTCAAAAAAAATCTTTCATCAAATATGTTGCAATACAATCCGTTAACGAAGAATCATAATATAAGCACAAGTGAAATATACTTTGGTCTCTTCTTAACTTTATATTATATGAAAGAATTTTTGCTTAGTTTGATTCCAATTACTCTCAGCAATACCAAGACGTCAATTTTTTTTTAATTAAAATTAGAATTATAAAATTCTGCCCATTACTATTCAGGATAATTTAAAGTAAAATCACTTTTTTCCTTTTTCTTTTATTTTTTCAAAGTTCATAATTCTTTTTCTTTATTTCATTTTTAATGTGAAGGTGTCGGATAACTAATGAAATAGAAGCCAAACCCAAAAAGAGATTCAAAGAAGAAGTTGGGCAAAAGGTGAGAGGTGAGTGAGCCAAGTGTTAATCGTCAATAGAAAAGTGGTGAGGTGTCACCTCTGCGTAAAATAGGCGCTACTAGTTTTCTCCGCTCGCAGGATCGCATCCCATGAATTGAAGCGTCATATTCGGCTGTATATTCTGTTTCGTTTGACACTAAACACTGACCTGACTATTTCTTCATTTTAAAATTTTTTGCAAATCGTAATTCACCACACCACCCGTTGGTAATCATTATATATCTATCTATATATATTAATACGCATACTACTCTCCGTGCTCTCACTTTCATTTCAAAAACTTCCAGATTCCTCTTCTTTTGTCTCTTTACCTTTCTCTTCAATGGCCACTGACACCGATAAGCTCACACAACTCAAATCTTCCGTTGCTGGCCTCAGCCAAATCAGGTACTCTTTTATTCTTCTTAATGATTTTGATCATCAGATCTGTGTTTCATTCTTTGTTTGATTAATTCTATATTTTTTCTGTTTCCTTCTGCAGTGAGAATGAGAAGAATGGATTCATCAATCTCGTTGCCCGCTATCTCAGGTAAATTTAGCTCTGATTTCGTTTGTTTTTGTGAGTAGATGTTCGAGATTTTGATTTTTGAATTGGATTGAGTGATGGTGATTGTTTGTGTGTTGATTGATTGATTGAAGTGGCGAGGCTCAACACGTGGAGTGGAGCAAGATCCAAACGCCCACTGATGAGGTGGTGGTTCCTTATGACACCTTGGCACCTGCTCCTGAAGGTATTGAAGTTTGGATTTGCATTTGGTTGGACAGTTGTTTTAGTTCTAAATTTTACGTGAACTGATGCAGTTCCAGCGGAAACCAAAAAGCTCTTAGATAAGCTTGTTGTGTTGAAGCTCAATGGAGGTTTGGGGACAACAATGGGCTGCACTGGTCCAAAGTACGCATTCTTTCACTAGATTGTGGTTTTCTATTTATTTTATTTTATTTTATTTTAATAATTTATCGTTCTTGTTGCGACTGAGACTGTAATCACTCTTTTTGTTTGACTTCTCGAAGTAAGATGTGGATTCTTTTGCATTAACATTGAAGTGAATGGGAACGGATCAGATGTTGGGTTTGTATAATATAGAAGGGATGTTTATCAAATTAGATTAAAATATGATCTGACATTAGACATAGAGATCATGTGCAGTGCACGTCTGATGTCCCTAGAATCATTTTATCACTTTCATCTTAGTTACTCTATGTGTAAATATTGAATCCTGTATTTATAGTATTTAAAATGGTACATAACAGTATGTGGATACCATGAATCCCTCTCTTGCTAAAGATTGTAGGATTTGGAAGGTAACCTGATTTGCACCTTGGATTTGCGGGTTCAGGGATTTCTGGTTGCCAAAAATTAAAAAATAAATAAAAGAAACTTACGATTGGGTATTATTTATATAACATAGAAAACTTTCATGATCTTGTAGAGTGAATGATTTATGTTGATATTAATTTAAGACTCTTATCATCAACACTCATGTTAATCTACAAATATATTATATAATCTGATAAAGAGATCCCACATACCCCTGAGTCACTTCTAGGACCTATTCATAGATTGGATTACCCCTTGTAGAAGTGGACCCAACTTCACGATTACATATGATAGGTGGCTTTTTGTCTATGCTTGTCTGTAATTTTGTGGCTATCACAGCTTTAAACTTAGTAATTTAGTTTTGTGTTCCCATGTCATTCGATTTGGATGTACCAGACAATGCAATTGAATCTGTAATATGGTGTGATTCTGTTTTTGTGTTCACTGTGATGTACGAAATGTTCTTTTTAGTGTCAGAGGTAAAAATGCATTTCAGGTTTTACTTTGTCCTCTAGTTCATGTACTTGTATAAATTTTCTTTAAAGATGGCGTAGAGACATAAGCATAACATCTCCAATCAAAGTTTAAATTCTCTATAATTGGTTTTCTCCATTTCAGTTCTCTTATAATTAGTGTGATGGGGATAGAAGACTGGTATTATTTATTTTGCTCACATTTTACCATTTGTGTGCTACATTCTCAATTCATACCTGGCAAAATTGTGGCTACTGTTTAAGGTCTCGTAATTTTTTCTTTTTTATTCTCACCAATAGAAATGCAAATATTATAATCTCTGATGAGTTTGTTGATTCATTCCCATAGTCTGCCCATTATCTATCGTCTTTCTAAGACTTCTTTTCAGTTGTCAGTTTTTGATAAAAAATTGTTTTGCACAGGTCTGTTATTGAAGTTCGTAATGGTTTGACTTTTCTTGACTTGATTGTTATCCAGATTGAGGTTATACTTTGTTCCTTACTATTCTAAGTCTTTCTCTTTTTCTCTCTCTTTTTTTAGCATGATGGCATGTAACCTAATTTTTCAAATATTATAGCATCTCAACTCCAAGTATGGGTGCAATGTTCCGTTGCTTCTTATGAACTCATTCAACACTCATGATGACACAGCAAAGGTATTGGAACTTTCACCTCTTCACTTCACTTCCCTCCCTAACCCCTTTAACTAGATCCTGTAGACTTATAAGTTCTTGACCACTTTCAGATTGTAGAAAAATACTCCAAATCAAACGTCCAGATTCATACTTTTAATCAGGTTTGCGATGCTATTATCAAATTAGCTGCAGTAGACTTTTGAGAACTTGTAACAATAAAATTTAGTTTTTAACCTTTCTTTTAACTTATGCAGAGCCAGTATCCTCGTTTGGTGGCTGATGATTTTGTGCCATTTCCATGCAAAGGGAAGACCGATAAGGATGGATGGTAAGGTTATATCAGTTTTGTTGGGTTTTAGGTTTATGCCTTTTTAAGCTCTGGTAGTTATCATCTTTTGTAATTATTTATTGTTTAAACATCTTGATCGTTAGAATATTTTTCAAAATTTTGGAAGGAGATATTCCAATAGAACAGCTTGCTTTGTGATGTCTTTCTTTATTGGTATGTATTCCTGTCTGCTTACAATCATCATTTGCTCATGGAAGGTATCCTCCTGGTCATGGTGATGTTTTCCCATCCTTGAAGAACAGTGGCAAGCTTGATACTTTATTGTCACAGGTTGGTATTACTTGTGCAGTTTCTGATAACTTGATTAACTTCTTCTCCAAGATACTCACACGGTTTTTTTTCTTATCTCTGGTTATTTTCTATGACAGGGTAAGGAGTATGTGTTTGTTGCCAACTCAGATAACTTGGGTGCTGTTGTTGACTTGAGTATCCTATTTGGTTCTAATCAATGTCAGCCTGTTGGCTTCCGCTGTTATATGTATTTACATTTTGTATGAAATAGATGCATGAACAAGTTTTTCCCGCATTTATTAACCTTGACCTGCTGCTATAGAAATCTTAAATCATTTGGTCCAAAACAAGAATGAGTACTGTATGGAGGTAAGAGAAGAATATAGTGATCAATTTTTTCTTCTCTGGCTTCAAAATTTTCAATAAACTTTCCCATGATTATGCAGGTGACACCCAAAACCTTAGCTGATGTGAAGGGTGGTACTCTCATTTCTTATGAAGGAAAAGTTCAGGTATATAAATCTTGTTTTCTTGTTTAACTTTGATGTTTTATTAAATCTTTCATCTTTGTTCTGTAATGTAATGAGCAAAGAATATGCCAACATGCAATGAGGAGAAGCTAAAGGAATGGAGTTGTATAAGATTTAGAAGAAAAATGAAGAGAGGGAGGAAGTAATAGCTAAAAAAATACAAAAACCTAATAAACTAATGGTACAACACCAACATTAAACTTTAAAGATGACAATTAGTTCATAGTACATAGAGCAAAGGATGGCAATTAGCAATTATCATTTTGTGAATATTACTTTTTGCAGAAGTTCATCCATGAAATGACAAATTTTATCTGATTCTTCTTCACCATCTTTTTATTGTTTTTTGGTGGAGTGGGGACTGGGGTGAGCATTTTTGGCTCCTGCTTTATCTGAATAAAAAGAAAAATACAAATTGGGCAGATATAATCTTTCTTTTCTTTCATTTTATTTTTTGCTAATTTTGGTGATTGCTACTCTAATAACTTCTCTCTCTTTTTCCTCCCCGTTGAACATGATGCAGCTCCTGGAAATCGCTCAGGTCCCTGATCAACATGTAAGCTATTCTCTATTCTTTAATATTTTTACTTGTGTAATTACTCTTTGTTGCTTGTTTGGATATTTCAATTTTATTATAGAGAATAGTCTTCATTAATAATGGACTTCTCAGTTGCTATAATCAATTGCTACCATTAGTTGTTGAAGGCCACAAATAGCCACCATGGTAGATGTTTGTTGGTGAATTAAATATTTGTACTTGCTAGTAGATCTGACTGTGGAAACTACATTTGATGTGAAAGTTTATTGACTAGAATTTTACTGAACAGCTAGCAGGGTTTCAGTGATATTCTTACTTGTGATGCTCTAGCAAAATAGTCTGGTTGCTGCTGAAAAAGTTACCATCTGTAATTAGTTTTGGTGCTTTTGGTGTCCCCCCAAGTTTAGTGGTGGTCTTCTTTTTCTCGATTTGATAATTGGTATTTTTTTCAACTACTTGAGTGGTATTTCATTTTATGAAAAGCATTATAATTAAGCATAAGGGATGACACTGAAATTCCATTTTGAGGGTGCTGGAACCTGATTTCGAAGTTGAAATTCAGGCTGATATCTTTATCTTGTACAAGGGGTGTCCATGTATCATCTGAAGCAGACAAACACTACAATGCCTGATAATTGATATTTGTAAAGATTCTTGATTATTTATTTAATAAATTTTTTTCTGTTATTATATTTTAGTGAGAGAAATGGCATGAAGCAAGATGTTTTATAGTGCTCCAGCAGTCACTGGGAAGTTATTTATACTGAATTAACCAAAAAAAGTTTCTTTATCTCTGCAGTCAAGCCTATTCTAAATTGCATCCAATGCTCGTCATTTTCACTTCTGCCTCAGTCATGTTACCCTTCTCGTTGCTAATATGAAGTTATATATGAACTTGTTTTCAGATGATTTGAGTGACATGCTAGTAATTCAGTCTTGCCAAATTTTTTATATTTCATAATGGTGTCATCTTTCTGCTCTTTCATCCTTCAGATAATATGAGGTGCTGTATGAGTGCCTTGCATTTCCTGAACAAGACGAATCACTTTTTTTTTACTGCAATACTTTATTATTCTTGGTGGGATTTCCTTTGGAAAATTAATGGCTGACTTGTTCCATTCCCTCTTATTTGTAGGTCAATGAATTCAAGTCAATAGAGAAGTTCAAAATTTTCAATACAAACAACTTGTAAGTCTTGATTACTTGAACAATATAAACATTAATCAATTGAGACTAATAAAGTGTTTCATAGGTGGGCGAACTTAAATGCGATCAAAAGACTTGTGGAAGCAGATGCACTCAAAATGGAGATTATTCCAAATCCAAAGGTACATTCTTTTTTCTTACAAAAATTATCCTTATTTTTTTGGGGTTCTTGGCCAAAATATATGATTTAAGTTTTGTATTGAGGTGCCAGTTGTGATAAAAATGAACTTGTTTCAGGAAGTTGATGGAGTCAAAGTTCTTCAGCTAGAAACTGCAGCTGGTGCAGCAATTCGGGTATTCACTGTACTTAAGTCATTATTATGATTCTCTAAATGTTGAAATTTTTTGTTTTAACTGAGTATTTTTTTTCTGTAAACCAGTTCTTTGATCATGCCATTGGTATTAATGTGCCTCGCTCTCGATTCCTTCCAGTAAAGGCAACTTCTGATCTGCTGCTTGTTCAGGTTATGTTGCTGTCTATTATGTATTTATTTTTTTGTTTGACTATTGTTCAAAAGCTTACATCTTTGCTGTTGTTAATCATACATATACTTTTTATTTGGCTATTGTTCAAAAGCTTCTCTGACATGCATATCTATTTTCTTTTCCAGTCTGATCTTTACACCTTGGCTGATGGCTTTATTACCCGGAATCCAGCTAGAAAAAACCCTGCAAATCCGTCTATTGAACTGGGCCCTGAATTTAAGAAGGTGAAGATCTGTTTTAGTCATGCTGTTCTTTTAGATGTGTCCCAGGTGTGGCCAAGGAGTGCTAGCCTTGGCTTCATCTTTGAAGAGTTTCCAGACAATATATTTTTTAATTAAATTGTGTTTTGTCCTTGTTAATAATTAAAAAATTCTGATTTGATTGACAGGTCGCTAACTTCTTGAGCCGATTCAAGTCAATTCCTAGTATCATCGAACTTGATAGCCTTAAAGTGACGGGTGATGTATGGTTTGGTGCTAATATAACTCTCAAGGTACTAAAAGAACTCATGACACTAACCAATAGTAGTTTCTTAAGGTCTTCTCCACGGCAGCCTGATAGCTTTACAATTGGTTGAAAATATATTATATCTGGTTGATGTTGGGACTGAATGTTGGTGCTATTTTTATATTTTGAAGGGCAAAGTGACTATTGAGGCCAAACCTGGAGTGAAGCTGGAAATTCCTGACGGGGCTGTACTTGAAAACAAGGTTTGCTATTAGCATTCTGATCTAAAATTAGCTCAAACAAGTAGTCACCGTTTTAGTTTTTGCGTTTACTGGATTTCATTGCTCACTGTAATATATGTATTTTATGTACAGGAAATCAATGGTCCTGAGGATCTCTAAGCAGGTTGTGACAAATTTTAACGTGGAGTTTCTTCATCTTTGATGTTGAAGAAGATTGAGTCTCGTTTGCGTGTTCTATTGTCTATGTTGGATTTGAGTTACAAAATTATTTGATGAATATTTGATTCAATCAAATACCGATCGTCGAGTGGTTTGGTTTTGCACTTAATTAATATTTCTTCACTATAACGTTTCATAAAATTTCCGTGTAGATTGTAGCTTACTTTTCAAAAAAAGGGATGGTCTATCTACAAATTTAATATTTAATTTTCAAAGTATTTAAATTAATGTTTAGAAAATTTCAAATATATAAAAATGTTTATAAATTTTCAAATTTAATAAATTAGTATTATTGTATTGTAAATATATACTAATATCACAATATTTAAGACTTTTAGTTAGTATTTGAAAAAAAAATAAATTCAAATACTTCAATTAATATTAAAGAAATAAATATTTAAATGCATACGAAAAAATTTAATTAACGTTTGAATTTTTATTCAAATATTTTAAAAGTTTCAAATTTCGTTCAAATATTTAAATTAGTGATTAAAATCATTATTTAAATATCTAAATTAATAAAAGTTTTTCAAATATTTAAGTTAATGTAAAAAGAAATTAAACCTATATTAATATTTTAAAATATTCACATATTATATGAACAATTAAAAATTTTCAAACTTTCAATATCAAGGGACTTGGTATATATATTTTAAAAGTTTAAATTTCTTTTTTTGACAAATATATATATAATATATATATATATATATATATATATATATATATATATATATATAATATATATATATATATACACACACGAATATTACAATTTTAAAGTAAATATCTCAAATTTTTATTTTATGTAAAATAATATTATTGATGAAATGTTATAGGTTATATTGACGCATTACTTGAATGTGAAGTTGGGATGATTACACATATTATTCGGAGTACAAAGTTAAGATGTTTATTTAGTAAGTCTTCAAAAAGTTTTTAAAGCTCTTTAACAGGTTTCAAATTATAATAGTATTTCAATGAAATAAAATAACAAAATGAAAGAGAAATTAATGTATAATACATAAATAAATATTAAAAAACTAAAAATATATTATATTTTAAAAGGTGAAATCTAAAAAATAGTAAGAGAATTAATTTTTTAGGGGGTTCAATGTGAAAAGGTAAAGAACATGAAGGATTTAATAATAAAAAAATTCAAATTTCATGGGGCTTGTGCCCCTTAAGTTTGTATGTTGGACCGGCTTACATACAAATCATAATACATAAATCTTTGAAGTGCTCTTAAATTTAACTTTTCATGCATAGATCAATGAGGACATGATGATTTATCTTCATAATCTTTTGATCATCCTCAAACATTCATATCGATTAATTGTTCATTTTTTGTTTTATTTGGATATGTAGAACTATATCCACTTGTTTTGGTCACTGATTGAAATTGATACCGTGCAAATAGTGACAATGTGATTTCATGGTGATTTAGTACTGTGAAGGCTCAAGTCATAGTGGGGACAGGGAGTCCCCTGGAGGGTTGGGGCCGGCATCCCCAGCCCCAATTGTCTTGGCCCAAATAAAGCTTAATTTCTCCTCTTCAACTTGGGTTGGCTTTATTTACAATGCAATTGATTTGAATTGAATACTTTTCTCCATGCTTCCAAATTTATCCACCTAAAACAAAAAGGGAGAACGATATGCACCCACCCAAGGTTTGTTGTAAAGATAAATTGGTATTCAAATAGTTTAAAAAAGACAAACAAGTAATTTCTGTCATTCTCAGTTAAGGATTTTTGTTTGTTAAAGATTATACTTCTAAAAAAGACTGAAATACCCTTAAAAGGTTGCCACATCAATTACTAAATGTTTTTTTTCTTCTTCTCCATCATTCTGATTTTCTCTTTCTTTCTTATTTTTTTCTTCGCTTTTTTTTCCCTTCTTCTCTGGCATTCTGAAATCTTCATTAATCGATGAAATTTCATCACAAAATCCATTCAAACGCCGACAAACAAAACCCTAACCTGGACCACCAAAACCATAGAGTCCGGCACACCGCTATGCCGGTGATTTCATTGACAGTGGTTTTATGTCTTTTGATTGGGTGGATTTGGTTGGTCTTTTTGTTTTGTCTTAGGGGTTTCTTGGTGGAATTTCGAGTGTTTGGGGTGGGTGCTGATTTTGTTTCTTATGTATGGTTAGATGTATGTTGGTGTGTCTGGTTTGGCTTGTTTTGGTGGGCGGGTGTGGTGGGGTATGGGCACTTGGGCATTTCTGCATGTATGTTCTGGTTTATAATGATTGCAGAATTTGTGATTTTGTTGGATTGATGGTGGGCTGGAGTATGCCATTGTTGTGGGGGGTTGGAGTGCTTTGGGGAATTGGAAGCTGGAGCTGATGTGTGTGGGACCTTATGTTGCTGATTGTTGTTTTTCTGTTTTGGTTGTGGTTCCTGGATGCTTTAGCTGCTGGTTTTTGCTGCTGTTCATTGTTTTAAAACCCAACCCGGCCCAGCCCGGTCTGTTGAACCGATTGAACTGGGACCCGGAAGTTTCAACGGTTTAGGTTTATACTTTTCCTATTCATCCAAAACCCTAGGATTTGGGTGGATGATCGGCGAGCAATTGACCGTCGGAACCTTAAGGCTTTTGAAGATAAAGCGCCAGTGAATGTAATGGTGGTGACATCGTTGATTTCCGGTGAGTAAATTGATCGAAAATCGAACAAATCTGGAAGCGGCAACGATGGGATTTCGCCAGCGATTAGAGAGGCTAACGGGGGTGGGGTGAGGTGAGTTTTGGTCTGGAGGAGGAGGGGAGTGATTCCTGGGTGATGGGGAGGGTTGTCGTCGCCGGCGTGGATGAGATCTGGCCTAGAATACCCACGTCGGCGTCGGTGAGATCTGGCCAAAATCGAACCTATTTCGGCTAGATCTTGGGTAGATTTTAGTGAAAATAGGCTCAAGGGACGATTGGGTTGCATCTGGGGTGTCGGCGCCACCAATCGATCGCTGGTCGATTTGCATTTTGGGTGTGTTTGAAAAAGTTCAAACATATACGGACTTACATGTAATTTTTAGGGGTGTATTTGCTGAATTTTAAAAAATTTTATCAATCAGTCAACCCGGGACTCAGAAACTTTGTCGGGTTACACCTCGGGTTGGGTTTTAAAACATTGCTACTGTTAGGCTAAATTTTCCTTTCTTTCTGCTGTTGATTTCCCGCTCCTGGTGCTTTGCTAAAACTGGTTGTTTGGGCTGGGATATTTTTGTTTGGTTTTGCTGTTTGGTCATAGTTTCTGGAAGCTTTAGTCGCTGGTTTTTTGCTGCTACTAGGCTGCATCCTTTTTGTTTTCTGCTGATAATTTTCTGCTCAAAGTGCTGTACGAAAGTTGGTTGCTTCGCTGGTTTTTTTTCAAGTTTTTGTAAAGGCACCCTTGCCTCTTTTTTGGTTCAGGTTTGGGATGTGTTGTTTAGGATTGTATTCAATTCAGTAGCATAGCAAGTTTTAGTTGAAGAAACTTAACAACATTCTTAGACATATCTTATCACAATAAGAGAAACTTAGCTAGTTTTTGTTTCGTTTAGTTTATCAAGCTCCACCTCCTTCACAGACAAAGAACAAAGTCATAACAAAAGAAAAGCTAAAAAGGCTTTTCGTTTACAAGGAAAAACTCTTTTTTTTTTTTCTCAATAACACGTGTCAAAACCTTAATAAATCTTTTAAAAGAAGCTTTGCTCCATACCCAGACAAAGATAATTAAAATTTAAAACTCTGTGGTTCTGCTAAAATTACTATGTTAGCTTTTAGCTGACTGAACTCACTAACAGATAATAACGGAAAGTACATATTTATCGTTTTCAAACTATTTGGATACCAAATTATCTTTAAGACAAACCTTGGGTGGGTTTATGTTGTTAGGCCAAACAAAAATAAACATTAATTAAATAAAATAACTAACAAAATATATTTAAGGGTAATAAATATGATATAAAATATGCCCGACAATTATTTTTGACCTGGATACATATTAATATATTATAAGATTAATATAAAAGCAATAAGTAAACTGCATTATCAACTTTGACTTTACATGAAAATTAATCTACATTTATTCTCATAGCACATATTTGTATCCCCAAAATAGCATACTTTTTATTTTTGAATTAGAATGAAGTTATTAACGACCAGAGACATCTGTAATGGAGGCTGTAGCGTTAGATACGGAAGAAGTAGTGGACGTTGAGCTCTCTCCACGAACCCTTGTTTCGGGGTCAATAAAAATAGGCCTCGTTATTATTGGTTTATTCTCTAAGGAACCCTTGCTTCTGAGCAAAACAACCACTTCTGACATTGTTGGCCTTGAAGCAGCAGATGCCTGAGTGCACATTAAAGCGATTTCCACTACTTTTTTAGCTTCTTCTTGAGTGTATTTATTTGGGTCTAAACTTTCATCTATCAACTCCAAGTGTAAGTCATTCTCGTATAGTTTCCATGCCTATACATTGAAGCGTGATAAGCAAATCGTATTTTAAATAACGGAGGAAGAAAGAAGAAAGAAGAAAAGGGGAACGACATTTTTACCCTTAATCTATCGCTAAAGGACAAAGTTCCCCCCTTAGTTTCGGAAACACCTAATATTACCCCCGTTTTTTTTTAATTCAGATGTTAAAACTTAACAATGAAAGGGTACTCTTGTCAATTCATTATGTTAGATTAGGTTTTTTGTCTCCATAATTGCCCTATGGTGGTTAAATTGTACCCATGAATCCAAAAACTAATGGTAATAAGCAGGGGTGATCGGCTCTAAGTACCCTCTATTTTTTTAAGAAATCAAATTTGAACCAGTCGATTCCTAATATTTGGAATCAAAATCAGAACCAAAATCGACGGGTTCCGGTTCCTATAAACCTAGAACTGGAACCTATAACATAGGTTCCGATTTCAGATACCCGGGTTAATATTAATTACCCCCTCATTTTAAAAAATGACAAATACACTCCCAAAATTATAATACATCCCTAATAGTTTACAAAAATTATAATTCAATCCCAATTCCTACCTGGGTACCCGAACCTCGATTCCAGTTCTAATTTCGGTTCTTGGTTCTAGATTGCAAGAACCGGAACTGAACCCGGGAATTCTTAGTTCCAATTTTCCAGAACTAGAACCAAA